CAATTTGGTTTCCCGCATCGAGTTTTGCACTTGGGATATTTCACGGTTTCAAAGAATTATTAATTTTTGGCATTAGCAAATCTTACATAGATTATTCTCCAATCGAGGAAAAATATCCCGACTGAGATAAATAAATAAAGTCTTTTATTTTATTTAGCTTATTTATTAACAATATCGGTAATAAAAATCTAATTTAATAATGTAGATAAAGATTCTTCTCATCCATTATTTATTCTTCAATAAATCTATTCTTCAATTTTATTGTTTCTCTTGAGAGGATTAAAATGTATTTTTATAAATCTTTGCAGCAATTTCAAAATTTTCGATTAAATTAGAATTATATGGAAGCGTTGTACTTTCTTAAAATTCGTGGCAAGATTAATTGAATTAACAAATCCGCAAGAAGCTATGACAAGCAATCTGGAGATGGAAAGCAGCAATAAATCTAGTGAAGTTAACAAGTCTGTCAGACCTCACTTAGCTACGGCGTATTTTGGTTATATCGGCCGGAATAACGCAACACAACAGTCCATCTGGCAGACCTTAATTATCATTTATATTCCGGGCTTGCGCAGTTCGTGAACGCGGTGTAAAATTACAACATCGGGCCAGAGAATCTCGGCTTTCATTAAAAGATAATTAAATCAGCAGCGAATCGATCCCCACTGCTTTATCCTGCCGTCTCCTGTTCGCGGAACTTCCTGAATTATGCAGCGAAGCAAGACGAGAACGTCGACTTTAAAATTGTATCGTGAAACTGTCCAGAGTTCCGGAGAAATGATCCTAGATATTCTTTCTTATTATACTGTCCTTTCGAGATGAGCAGCCGGCAAAGGAAACCTTTCGAGCCGTTCAGGTATTTTAATCTCTCTGATGTAAAATTAAATACAGCAGTATTCTCTTATATCAGCGGAAAATTTCGTTTGCTCTCGTTGAATTTTTAATTTGCGGGACATTTGGCTCACCCAAGGAAGTAGTAACGTCCTTTATTTAGATTTGAGCAAAACACGGAAAGGCTAGATTAATTTTTCATTATTTTCAGATAGAAAGGAAGAGAAAGAGAAAAATTGAATATAATCGGAATTAATTTAAAAGAAAAAATTTAGTCGGGAGATTTTATTTTTTTATAAAAGAGATTATTATTATTTATTATATGTATTACTAATTTTATACAAAGAGCTTTAAAAATCTTTGTACGCTTGCCGCGATATGCACACGCTTATATCAGTCGTTTCAATCGCAACATCGCGCATAATAAATTGCAGTCTCCATGTGGAGACGATGACCTTCGTAATCCGGCGTAATTAATAAAACGATTAAACGGGGCAGCACTTCGGCGTCATTAATCACAGCGACGAGAGCTATTAGTAATGCCTTTTCTGGCCGGAAGTTGAGCGAATGCGCACTCCGCACTCGTGACGTTCTCTTTCATTGATGGGGGAGAGGAAGGATGTGCAAGGATCGTGAGATTTCCCTCGGCTTGCCGCATTAAATTTCCTGTCGTTTTCCTTTCGTGACCTACACGCGAGTATAATGTCGCAAAGTTATTTCTGCAAAATGTGCCGTAAAATATATCTGAGAAATATTTTTGGCGAGGCGTCGCGGAATCTCTCCTTTAATCTTTTATCTGCGCCCTCGAATCGCTCAAGATTTATTCAATCGTATCTCTTTAGAAATTCGACTCGATCTTGAGTTGTACAATCGGACGGATCGTGTCGATTATATCGATATTTATGAAAACCGCGATCGAGTCTCGAGGTATCTCGAGAAAAAGAGACTCTTTATCTTCTGCGCGAGACGAACAAATCATTTTCACGAAGCCGTATTTTCGCTTAAAAAGAGCGAGAAGACACGCACCCACACTCCTTACCGGATGATACTTGCGAGATACGAGACGAGAGAGACGGGGGAGTAGAGTCTTATTCCAAAGTATTCCGAGAGTTGAAACAAATTCCGCGAAGTTGGTGGATTCGATTATTAGTTCGCGCCTCGAAAACTCATCGCCTTCTTCCTCTCCTCCTTTCTTCGCCTTCTTCTTCCTCTTCCGCTTCCGCCATACGTTCGATACCGGGCTTTACCTATCGTCTTCGGAATTGTGAGTGCAGGCGGCCGTGTAATTGCGAGTCTTCCAAGGAAAACGGAAACTTTCCCCCGAATTTAGCCGCGGCGGGGGAGAAGGGCACAAGCGCCGACAACGCCGTGCATTAACCGGATCTGAACTTTCGATAGAAATTTCCATTACGTAAGAATCCGGGAGAGACAATACTCGCGCCGAAGGAAATGTGTCCCCTTCGGGGTTGCCCGGGGATGACACTTTCTCGGAGCCAATCATGAGAACGCACAGTTCGAGATTCAGAATTATTACTTCGCAAGCTGTTATCGAGCGGGAAGTTGGTCTACTAGACATTAGCTTAATCGCTAACTATTGTAATTGCAATAAATAAATGATTAAAATAATCTTGTAATAATATATAACTTTTATTCGCTTTGTAATTTTAGATGAGGAGATGGGTATTTGATATTTTGTATTAAAGGAAGAAATTATGGAAGCAGATCATCGTGAAAATTTTTCCAAAAGAGCACGAGTAAACTTATTCAACATCAAATTATAATTTAATCAGCGTGTACTAAAAAACAAAAATAAATTTTTGCATGTAATGTTTTTGTTTATTTTTTTCGATATTCTAGCAAATCAATGTATTTAAACTAACTTAAATACATTATGGAACAATTATAACAATCTCAGATAAAAACTAGAGAGAATTTACGGATCTATTTGAGAGTTTGCACCATAATTTCGCGAAACTTTACATAGTTTGTAATGGCGTGGAGATTTGAGCGAGCAATTTCGGGTCGAGCGTCAGCGGCGCGCGTCGAAAAAATGAAAAATATTTGATAAATCTTTCCGTGTCACTCTCTTCAGTTTCCAGCCGCGGAGGCAACGTCGAAGACCGTGGCAGGTACACGCAATATGTTTCCTCGCTGTTGCGCCTCTTCATCTTCAACCCTTTTTATTGCCGTCACCCAATTTCTTTTTTCCGCCCTTATATCTCTCGTCGGACTTTCTCTTTCTGCCATAACCCCCACAAAATATTTCGAGGGAACCATTTTATGTCTTTGCGTATGTCGAGCGGAGTGAATGGTGTTTCAATAATCGTATATCATTGAATTTTCTCTGGCGAAATAGAAAATCTCTCTTCTCTCTTCGCTATTTCGCGCCTCTCGACATTTCGGAGCCGGAAATTGAATGGCAAATATGACCATGTTATCCCAAAAATATCTTTATATTTTAAAAATAGATATAAACATCTGTATCCCCTTAATGTAAAAGAGAAATTACTAAAATGCGCATTAAATATTACGGTGATACTTGGGGCTCGGGAAACTCTACAGTTTAAAACAGATGTAAAAGTAATCTCGCAGTAATCTAGTAATTACCCATTGTGTGGCTCGACCTATCTGGGGAATATTGGGGAGCGTGTCTAGTTCGCTAGACGTTAGTCCGGTTGAAAGCTGAATAATTCGCACAATCCCGAGGAAGTTCGATTTTAGATAGCTATATATATATATGCATCGCGTAAAGGTCAATGACATCTATTTCTGACCGTCATAATTCATCCGAGACTTTCCACAATTCGGTGGAAAAGTTCCTTCAAACTTAGATTAGTGATTTAATTTGGGACTCCAGTGAATCATCTTAAAAATCATTTTTTAATCGGAGCTTTACGTAACGAACAAAACATCTGGCGTCGCGTTATTCATTCAACGCGACTAACTCGGACGACTAGCAAGGATTACTTCATCTGCTAATGTTCATCTAAAATTCCGTTTTTTTCCCCTCGAAAACGTTGACGCGGATATATCAGGCTCGTTATATCTACGCGCAAAAATAATTTAGTTAACAAAACAATATTTTTAAGAATGATATATGCATCGCGTAAAGGTCAATGACATCTATTTCTGACCGTCATAATTCATCCGAGACTTTCCACAATTCGGTGGAAAAGTTCCTTCAAACTTAGATTAGTGATTTAATTTGGGACTCCAGTGAATCATCTTAAAAATCATTTTTTAATCGGGGCTTTACGTAACGAACAAAACATCTGGCGTCGCGTTATTCATTCAACGCGACTAACTCGGACGACTAGCAAGGATTACTTCATCTGCTAATGTTCATCTAAAATTCCGTTTTTTTCCCCTCGAAAACGTTGACGCGGATATATCAGGCTCGTTATATCTACGCGCAAAAATAATTTAGTTAACAAAACAATATTTTTAAGAATGATATTCTTTTTAATAAAGAAAATACATCGTTAAAAAATGTCCAATACACAATAATTTAAATCCTTTTTAAATGACGTAAAAAAGTATCTAATTTTATAATTTTATAATATTTTTAAATTTTCTTATATTAAAAACTACATACTACTACATTCTATTCTTAAAACATTCTGAGATTTAATTTTAAAAGTAAAAGTCTTAAATTTTGTAATTTTTCAAAGTTTGCAGATCTTGTTACTCGAATATCTCTTGAGAGGATAAATTAAAAAGCGCAAAGAAATTTTTTATTCAAATATTCTGAAAAATCTGAAGGGACTTAGGATCCTATACGTTACAAGGATGAATAGTTCTGCACACAAAATCGCGTTACAAAATTCTTCCCTCGAGATAGTGTTGAGAAGCGTATCGTCTCTCTAGTCGTGACTCCAGAACGTGAAGAATGTATGCACGACATATAAAGAAGTTTCGATGCTTGATCGATCGATCCATTTGCACTTCCTTTTGGCGCGATGTGAAGAACAGAATGTGTGACATTTTGAGCTTGGTACACGTCGAATCTGTCTTTTTGAGCGGACATGATTTTCAAATAAAAATAAAAATTGCTTTTTTTATTGACAAATAAATTTACGTCATTTACGAAAGGAGATAACACGCGTCGTAAATGTACGTGCGATGATTGCGATATCGCTTATCAATTGCGAAGAAGAATTTGTACTCACCCATAGCGGGTGCGTAGATGTTCAGATAAAGGCAATCCTCGCTCTGGTTGCGCAGATGAGGCAGCAGTCTCTTCAAATACTCTAGTCTTCCCTTAGGCATCCGCTCGAGCGCTTCCTGCTCGTTTGCAATGTCCGGCAGCTTTTGGGGGCAGACCGGACTTACCGATTCCGATAATCTGCAGAGGAAATCGGAAATCGTTCGTGCGTTACAACTAACCGAACTGGTCAAAGTTTCGCATATAGAATACGCAGGGCATTCAATAAGAACGAACATTGTGTCGACGAGAATAAATTTCAAGCTAAAGCGTCTTAATTTTATAACAAGTATTTCCTTCTTTTGCTAATTTTGTAATAATATACTTAGCTATAATCTTTTTTTATTGGATCTTATATTTATTAATGATAAACTAATCTATTATTATATATATTACACACATATACTATTTTATGTAAAAAAATCGAGATTTCTCGGCAGTTATGCGATCATGGATCTAGTAGCAATATAACGTTGGCATTCGAAAAATTCGTCAAGGAATATCTTGGCATGATTTTAGAATGTTGTGTATCTCGCGATACTCCCGGACACTTCGAGTTACGAAGACTGCGCGGCATTTGAAGCATCTCGGGAAGATCGTGCTTGTTATAAAATTGAAAAGTACCTGCCCTCTTAAACTGCGAGAAAGTTATAGATGCGATCAATCTCGCAGCTACGGAACTAAAAATTGATTAGCCTTAACGTAAGTCTCTGCATAATTCGTTCGCGACTTTGGAAGTAAACTTTGGATTTTCGGATAAGCGCGACACGCATTCGTAATGATTTATTTACTTGGGGAAATAAATGAGAAAGCAAACATAATATCTTGATTAATTCTTTCGCATGCAAAGTTTCATCTCGAATCGAATCATTTCGGTCACCTGATCTACCTTTTCTTTAAATATAATATAATTGCTGTTTATTTTAATTAATATTAATTTTATATAATATTATTATATCGAGAATTTTTTCTAAAATCTCCGGAATTATTATAAATCCTTTTACCTTACTCCCTCCCAAGGACTCGGCGCTCTCGTCGGGGAAAAGCGGTTGCTGCCGACCGGCGGTGTGGCGTACGGTATTCCGAGGTAGACGTCGATGGGCTTGAGATACTTGGCGTACTCGAAGGACCTCGTGACACCCTGCACCTCGCCGTAGCGCGTCTGGACGATCCGCGGATTGAGCTTGCTCTTGATGGAGAGCGAGAGGGCGGGCGGCAGGGCGATCAGGTAAATGAGGACCGGGAAGAGTTCCATTTTGCCACCCACCTCTCGCCCGCGCTAACCGCAACCGATTACGCCCGACACGATCTATGGATCACCTCCGCGTCCCGCGACGATCGTCTCTCATTTACGCCCGCGCGATTAATCGCGATGCCGTCGAGTTTCCGCCGTCCCGGTGAACCTATCTGGAAATAATCGCATAGGCCGCGGCTCCATAGATCATTCATTATCGATTACGCATACTGTATACACTGTGGAATCTTTCGTCATTTTCAAAATTATTTGCCGGTGTTATTAATAATAAAATTTCCTGCCGTAAGAGACAATTTTTCCAACAAAATTATCGAAAAGTAGCTTTAAGCTTTGCGACTAATCTGATATTTTTAAAAATAGTTTTCTCTCTTTCAATATTAAATACTTTAATGTAATAAATTTCTATATATATTTAGAATAGATATTATTAATGACATATATATACATCTTTCTAATTAAATGTAATGCAAAGTTCAAGTTAATTGAGCAGCAAGTAAACAAAACTATGAATACGGACAATGATATAAGAAGACAAAACAGCGAAATTATAATTTTATGATAATAATTGTTAATTAGTATCGATTCGAGATAGTTGCAACCAGCAAAGTTGCAATCAATAGCGCTGCACTTTATTTCGCTTACTCGCGATCGCATCAATTAATTTCGTGTTTTTGTTAGTTTTAATTTCCACGACGCAGCGGTTTTCGCTATATACGGTTTGGTAGTAGTATTTATTTAACCTGGCCGTTCAATTAACTATATCAATATTTAATTAATATGCACCGCGGTTACAGCAATCGGAAAATGACGATGATATTCAATAAAGAAAGGAACGAGTAATCGAATATACATCTCAATGCGAGTAATCGATATTCTGAAAATAGCTATCCTGAGGATGCACAATCGTAACGACGCCTTTTATCGGTCCTTCGATTACTGGCGAATTTTAATCTCGCGACAGAAAGCTTCGTCTCTTTGATGGAGGATAAAGTAAAATAGCCGAAGGGAAATAGCGACAAGAAGCGAGGGATAAGAGCGGATGAGTAGGGTGAAGTTACAGACTTCGATAAGCGCGAGGAAACACCGTCTAGAAGTCATATACTGGTCGTATTTTAGCGGAATCAACTCTATCTTGAAGTGAACTAATTTATCTACTATTATTGCGAAAGCTATACTTTAATTAAGTATTCACGCTTTAACATTTTATTAAAATTTAACTTTAAATTAATAAGAAATAAGAAATAATTTTACATTATTAATAAGAAATTTTATATTATTATTAATTTTATATATTTAATAAGAAATAATTTTATATTATTAATATGTTGTAAATTTTTTAAGAAAAAAATAAGCAAGAAAAAAATATTTATGCAACATCAAGAAGCACGTGACCAGGTTAGCAAAATTTTAGTAATAGCCGAAAAAGAGTAAACATGGAAAATTTTAAATAATTTGGCATTTTGTCAGTGAGACCGTCAGCACCGAATCGCGTAAAATCGTCGCGACATTGACGTGTATAAAAAGCCAAAATCAAAAAATTAATCACGTCCCGTTGTGATTATCGCTAGTCTTGAATTCGAATTACGCGATAAGATTACGAAGACCCAAAGTTTCCACGAGCGGATAGAGAAAGGACATACGAATGGGGTTGCAAAGAGACGGGGTATGGAAAGGGAGGTTGAGGAAAGCGCTAGAAAGGGTAAGGGATAAGTGAGTGCACTCGTACGTGGAGCCATTATGGAAATCAGTACTTATCGGTCTGGCGAGGAGAAGGAAATTCAACCTTGTGTAACGGCGCCACGTTTTCCTCGTGAGCCACGTGGTGGAGAAAAAGGAGATAAGCTGTTTCGGCCCCGTCAGTCGCCCCGATAATTTCTCTTCCTTATCAATGATGCGACCTCCTCGCCGCGAATCCATCTCGTCGATTTACGATTTAAAGACGAAGTAAAAATTCTCTTTGAAAAAGGTAGATCCCAAAAACGGTATATATCAAAAAAATTTAAATTAAAAAAAAAGCTTATAATTTATTCCTTCATCAATTTTAAATAAAATTAACTTCAAACAGTATCGTTCTTAATCAAAGATTAAATTTTTAATTTTGTTTCATTGTTTTTTGGAAAAACAATTATAGCTTCAATTAATGATTAAATCAATAATTTAATCGATTTTATAATATATAATGTATTCTATATTAATTAAAACTTACCATTTGTGCGAATCATGACTTTGATTAGGCCTTTCGTCTCTCTGTGGGACTTCTCGGATTATCAAACGATAGCGGCACAGACTCAATCCAGAATGTCTCCTGGCATTTTTTTCTTTTTAATATACTTGTTTGTTAAAAACAGTTAATTATTAATTGCTGATAATGAGTTATCAGTTTTGTAACTATTATATGTCTCGAACGCGACATCCGCAATTTATAATTTGCGAAATTTCTGTACATCCTCCTCTTGTCATCGATTGTTTTATGCAACCAATTACGTGATTTTTTTTTTTCTAATACTTAATTTAATTTGTAATCAATTCTCGTTTCTTTTTGTCGCAGTGTCCTGAAACATAAAAGAGACGAATATAATTAGTTTATGGAAATACAAGCAAGAATATAATATTATAAAATTGTGTAGTGTTTTTTTCCTCTTTATTCTAACCAATAGTATATTAGAGAAGCAATATATTAGATTGTGAAATTAACAAAAAGAAAGTGATAACTATATTTTCTATTATACTTAATTATATCATTATTTAAGGAGCAAAAAGAATATATATAGGTTATTATTGCTACCAGATTATGATAATCATATGGCAATCAATTAGATTATCGAATAAGATTATTTATTAATTAGTTAAATTATTGAATTAGTTGAGAATATTGTATATATAATATTGTTTGGCTCATTATCGCTATTTGTTAATAATTAATTAATTGGTTTTCAAATAGATTGCGTGCATAAATTAGCTTGCAATTCAAAATCAAAATTACACATATATAAATATATAAACGTAAACATATGTTAAAAATTATCTAATTTTCTCAAAACTGTCTCGTACAAAGAAATTTCTTTCTACATTTATAATTTATTTTTGCCTGAGAAAATTTTTTTTTTCGCTTAAATATGAATAAATACTCTCACACAAATGCAAGAATTTTTATACAAGAACTTATAAAATAATAATTGAAAACAATATAGATTCTAAAGGGCTTATTTATGCGCTTTTACTTAACAGACACAAACTTGCTTGCTTCCTTTCAATTTAGCGCTCTGCAGAGCCAGTTATATTCTACTTTATTTAACTCATCTTAATTGCAAATTGAACCTTAATTCACCTTCATTAATTCATTGCATCTTAAAGTAACTTTACATTATCAATTCTCATTATTTAGTCTCTCGAACCTTTCTTTTTCCTTGTCCTTTGTCTCTCTCTCTCTCTCTTTTTCTCTTTCTCTCTTTTTCTCACAATCTCATCTCTACAATTTATGTTTATGCTCTTGCTTTCTTTTATCTGTCCTATCTCTTTTTTTTCCTGCATGTATATTGTAATGTATGGGAATTAAATGGACTAAACCTACCATTTAATTAAAAAAAGAGAAAGGGAAAAGGAGAAAGAGAAAATTCGAGAAAATCTTGCTCCAATTTTTTAAACAAATAGAAATTGTCGTCACCAAAGTTTAAATAAAAAATGAATAAACATAGTACATATATATGAAAAGCATATATGACAAAATTTATAAAAATATATTTAATCTTTAATGGAAATTTTACACTATCAATCACGGAAATTAATCTCAAATCTTTTTAATCTTGTCGCGTCTCTTATAACGCCAATGTAGAGCAAATCTGCTATGCATGAATATTTGAGCTTAAGTAGCATCGATTGAGAATAGAAAGACAAAGCTAGAATTCGATTACACCGGATGAGAGTTCTAGGGAGGGTCAACCCTTCTCGTAGGGGCGGTGGCCGAGTATTTCAGCGATAGCGGAATGCCGCCAGCGTCTGGACACAGTGCTGGGAACAATTATTGCTACTTGGCAAACACAAATAGTCTCCGGTCGGGAGATACCGCTCTCGCCAACTTCTCGGGGTGTACATAAACGCGACTACCGGCGTAAGTCGGAATCCTGGACCGTGCAGTGTCGTCCTGCGGACTCGTTGCGTATCCCGGCTAACTGTATTCGAGACGACGAATAACCGGTGACACTATATGCGGCCGCGGTTAACGACACGCTTGCTGGTTAATTCGCGCTAGGATGCAAATCGTCGGTTTCAACGTCGCGGATACGGTAAGAACCTCGCAGCGATTTAATCTTATTGTTTGCGAAAATTGCGTAAATCGCGTTAATTTAATTTAATAACATGGGTAACTGCGTTTCGAATTGCGAGTCAGCGAGATTCTGCATTTTAACTTGAATACACAGAAATTTAAAAGTAAAATAGCTTATAAGGATTTAGAAGCAGGAGGCTTTTACTCTTAAGATGGATTAATGAATGTAAAGGCTTTTTTTGCCTGAATTAATTGCTTGAGAAATTTTTCTTTTTCGGAAATTAATTTAAAGAGAACACGAGAATCTTTATTTTCATCGAGATAAATACGCATTCATCTATGGCTGCAAATCTAAAATTTTATATATAAAAATATAATTATTATTCATTGACATGAGATATTATACTCTCGTAAAATATAATTTATTGCTATTATTTATTCTTTCTCTATTTATAATATATGCATATATCTCTAGTATAAATTATACTTCGATTTATTTGACGCGATTTCTGTTCTTCGCAACTTTGTTTTATCGTAGATAGTCCAGTGGCAGCTGTAGTCGCTAGAATAGCAGGTGCGTCGTGGTGCATCTGAAAGAGAATGCACCGCGACAGGATGACAGGCGCAGGAAGACACGGCGGTGGTGTGCGCGCGAGCATCGGAAAGCCATTCACGAGAGCCGGTGAGGCATATGCCGGCGCTTTCTTACGAGATTGACGGGAAGAAAAGAGAGAGAGAGAGGCGGGGGTGTATCTCGCGGAGGAGTCGCGGGGAACATCAACGGAAGAACTCCATTTCCGCCATATTTCTCGCACAATGCCGCAAAATTGACTAGCCAGAAAGCGGCGGCGTCTCGGGGCTGACGCTGGCAAAGAGAGGACCCAAGGGGCCACCTTCGAGCACCTCGGTTCCACCCCCCCCCCCCCCCCCCCCCCCCCC